CTGACATGTCGGGTGATAGGTGTCACTCATGTAAGCTCATAAGTCTGCTGTTGTGTTTTAAGGGCTCACACTTTTAGCTTTGTGCAGGGTATCCATGCAAGTCTCAGCAAGTCATGACAGATGTGAAGAGTACTAAGCACAGTGTCTGTCTGGAAGATTAGCATGTACTGTAGTGTAGTAATAATCCCTAGAGCTTTGTATCTTCCCTAGTTTTGTCAGGAATATATTGCTTTTTATTGTCAAATTTTCATGCAAATAGAGCGAAAATTCAATGGAAAATGTGTAATTTATTCAAACGGGTACTGCCGACATATTCAAACCCCGCTGCAGAACACCTCGGGAATATGGAAAGACCAGCCCGTTACCCAATCTCGTTAGCTAACCGTTAGAGCTTGCCTAACGGTGCACTGATGTTATTTACTTATCTTTCTGACAGTTAGGTAACGAGGAGACGCGCGTCACGTACCGCGCAGTGAACTGTTCGGTAACGGCATCAACTCATTTATACCTCACGGCGCGCCGGCGGTGTAAACTGCATGTACGTCTTACGTGAGCCGCAGCGGCGGCGCTGAGCGACAGTAGAGCGGGAGAGCCCCGGGACTTCCATGACGGCGCAGGTGTCGGATGGATCGGGGGCAAGCGGATGCGACACGCCATGCTTCGAGGGCGCCGCAGGCTCGACTCGTGCTATACGTATGAAGTAGTGAGCTGGAACATGCGGCGACGTGCGTCGTGAATGGGTGCTGGCGTGTAGGAGTGCCTGGTGGAATCGTCCTTCGTAGCCAGCTCGCTAAATAGCAGCCCGCCGCCGGTACTTTGAGCTTAACTTAATTGGACACGGACGTATCGATTAACTAGGTCCGCATTCGGTGGGGTCGTCCGGCGGGCAAACCGGGGTGAAGCGCGTTGATGAAGAGTCGTGACTTGGGCTCCAGCCTTTTGCAGGCAACCAGGCAGGCTATCAGAGCGACAAACAATATGTTTCGCGGAAGGATTCGCAGAGCTGTATGGTATCCTTGGTATCACAGGTTGTTCAAAAGAGCGGCGACGACAGGAGCGAGGAAGCGACAAGCGCTGGGAACGCGTTCACGATCGGATCAGTAAATCACGTGTGAGACATACGCTTCCGCGCCGACAACGAAATGAGCTCGGAATCTCGGATGCTCATGCATTCATGAATCGTCTCGTGCACGCCCGCATAACGCACAAGTGATATCGTGATTGGGTGATGACGTGCGTATCTTTTCTCGTCATACAGCTATATGAAACTGACTGATCACAGGCTCATGGAATGCTTGCACGCCATGCCGCAGATGCAGGTCAAGGAATAGACGATGCCTGTCTCCTAGCGAAGCTCTTGGGTCGCCCACAAGAAACCCATCGAGCAGTCGACGTACGCTTCCAGTCTCATTGATTGACGTTAAACGGATGTCCTTATCGCGCACACTGCAGGCAATCCAAATATATGCTGCTGTCCAGTGGACGAGCTTTACGATATGTGGTATTACGTCTGGGGCCGACCAACAAGCGCTGGTTTTGAAGAAGCCAATCGAATCTTAGTGAGTAAAGGTGTGTTTGTCACGGTCCTCTCTATGATGGCGACCTTTGCCCTGACGCTATGAGTCTTTTTGGCTACCTGCGTAATCTCGTGCTTGTCAGCCCGCTTTGAGCGACGTGGCTGTCATTTAAGTTTGCATTTCCCAAGGTGCCGCTGGCGTACTCGTTGGGGATGGTGCTGTGGCGCTGAGGTCATGCGCCCGTATAGACAGCTACCGTTCTACCTGCTCGCGGCGATACTGACCGTGGCTTCACCAGACGCCCCCAACCGCGATAGCACCCAAAATTGAGAGCTCGTGTCCTCTCTAGGAAGTATTCAAATGCCATCCTATTCGCCCCATGGCCCGGAGGGCCAGCTTATAGCAAGCGGGCTCCGCTTAACATGGCTGCAACCCCACTGGACTATACTCTGACGAAATATGCCTGGCAAGACGTTCCAGGTGGCCATCGTAGGAGGTGGCGTCTGTGGCATAGCTTGTGCTATCGCCTTGCTCAAGGAAGGAATCGACGTACAAGTCTACGAGGCTGCGGTACGTGCCGTTATTTTCTCGGGGGTCGCATAGCTCACTCGATAAACAGTCAGAATTAAAAGAGATTGGGGCAGGTATCGGCATCAGTCAGTAACCAGTCGCTTTCGTCTCTGTTTAGTGACGCTCTTAACGTCTTCAACCCCTTCCAACGCAGGCCCGAATGCGAAGCGTATCCTCGAAGCTCTGGGCGTATGGAACGATGTCATTGCCCGTATTCTTCCGGGCCGGATGGCGAAACAGCATTCACCTGTTCAATCTCACACTGGTGCAGCACCACGAGAGAACACATGGTTTCAGTTCGTCTCTGGTATGCCGGGCCATAAAGTTCTTGCCGATGTACGTCGATATTCTCAACTGTGGCAGGACGTACGCTAAGCCTGTCGTCAGTGGGATTCTGTAGGGCGCGAACATGTGTCTTTCGGCATCCACAGAGGCATGTTCCTTAACGCTCTGCTGCTCCACATCAACCCCGAGCGTCTGCACCTGCGCAAGCATTGCACACGCATCACCACTACTGAGAAGGGAGTCACCATTCATTTTCAGGACGCGACGACTGCCTCTGCAGATATCGTTCTTGGTGCAGATGGGGTACGAAGTGTAGTTCGACGCTTCGTCACAAACACATGCGACGCCGCGGATGATCCGTACCTCAAATTTAGCAGGGAAGTTTGTTACCGAGCACTGATCCCTACCAAGGCCGCTGCTGCCAAGGGAGTCACTATGGACTTCAGCAAACGGCCTATCTTCTTCGTCGACGAGAACAGGCATATGACCGTATATGCCATTCAGGGTGGCGCCATGGTAAGCTCAAGCCTCAGCTACTCTCGCAACACGCTCACGACGGCCTCGATAGATAAACGTGGCGGCATTCGTCTCAGACCCTGACTCTGCGGCCGAGCACTATCCACCCGCTTCCCATTCTAGAGTACAGGCAGTGGCCACCAGCGAAGTTCTGGCGGCCTATCGCGGATGGGGTCCTGAAGTTACGAATCTCCTTTCCTGCGCCGAGAAGCTTGGGAAGTGGGAGATCAACGTCGTTTGTCCGGCGATTGCACCTGGGAAGTGGACGAGAGGCCGGGTGGCGATCCTTGGCGACGCGGTGAGTCTCGCCAACGCCTTCCAATCACAGCGTATTGAAATCAAGCAGGCTCACGGGATGCTCCCCCATCTCGGCGCGGGCGCTGGTCAGGGGATCGAGGATGCTTACCTACTCGCCAAGCTCCTCGGCCATCCACAGACTACACCGGAGAATGTCGCGGTACGCCGTCCAAGTCCAATCATACGAGTTTGACATGGTCTGATATACAATCTCTGCAGGAGGTGCTCCGCGTCTACGCTGCAGTTAGACAACCTCGCGCCCGGAAAATCTGGGAGGGGAGCCGCCGTGCGGGGGACATGCTCGACGGTCGGACCCATGGAATTCATGTCGACGAGCTTCGAGACATGTGGAACTATGTCTGGAACCAGCCACTGAACCTCGAGTTCGACACGGCCACATGCATGCTGCAGGAGAAAGGTACTTTCGCGAAGTCTGCTCTATGAGGCTCGAGTTCCTTGTTTGTAGATTTCCGCGACGACTGTACACTAGACTGCTGGGCATTAGGATGCTGAATTATTGTTTGAACTTCGTCCAATGAGTACGACCGGTCTGCAAAAACAAGTTCTCAGTCTTCTACCATATTCGACAATCTGGTTCTTCCTATTCCTTCTTGTATGAGAGATACACGACGCGCCTCCCAGTCCATGCACAGTGCGGAAGGGAGTCTAATGAAGAAAGTATACATCCTCGCTTAACTACCCCCAACACCGAGTCTCTCAACCTTATCCTGCTATCCCGTGCGTGTGTTCTGGACAGGTCTTGCGGGGGCGTCGTTTTCGAGCCCTATCAAAAGGTCTTTTTTGCTCCTCATTCCTCTCCACGCCTGTGATCTGATGTTATGAGCTAATTTGTAGACTTTGTATGTGCATAAGCTTATTCTAAATGAAGCTACAAATTTTTTTGTCTAGTACGATATGCTGGGCACCAGTCTTTAACGCGAGGCACTTTGTTACAAGACTGTTTAATGATAGTATCGCTCACCCAGCCTATTTAAGAGGCTATAATGCCGCAACCGAAGGCACACCATACATCAGTGCGCCTCTTGCCGCAATCCGGTGGCACCGGAAGTAGCCAACGAAGGCCGCGTAATAGACGCCATAGACGCGGAATGTCCCGATCGGAAGCCGGAACGTCCAGCACGGCCAACTGTAAGCGCTCAGGAAGTGGACCAGTTTAGCATGCTCGCAGGTCTGTGCCCTTCCACTTAGTCAAAATCAGACATGTTATGGGCCTGGTCCATAGTAATTTGTATTATCTTTATGTACATGCAGCCTATATGTTTTTATGCTGAGGAGAAAGCTTAGAGTGAATGTTCTTCTGCTCACAGTGCAGGAAACTGGCTCAATCAGGAAGTGGACCACTGGTATGTGTTTAGGTGCCGTATCATGTGCTGAACTGCTCTTGAGGTGCAACCAGGCAGCAAACTCGCAAAGTACTGTATAGTTCACAGCTGAGAGCCACTAAGATATGACTATGATGTTGATATATGATGCTTCAAGCACTTAGATGTGCAGCAGACATGGGGTGTGAGGTGCATGTCTGGACTTGTGAGGTGGGGATGCCAGTGTTGTGCAAGGTGCTTACCTTGTGAGTCTGAGCAGCCCCTGTCACAAAACGGGTGCAGATGACAGCTATAGATACTGGTGCCTTCATGTGAGAGCTTTGTAGCAGATGAAGCACTGCAGAGGAGGAGGAAACTATTCTGGAATCTTGGATGGTGAGCACATACCAGGGATTCAGATTCTTGCCACACACCATTGCCTCCACAGCACCAGTTGCCTCTAAATCATTCTCAAAGCAAGCAATGCCTTTCCTAGTTCTATTAATGTTGTTTCAAAGTGTGCAGCAGGCTGCCAAATGTCAACAGTTCACTTGCATCTTAGTGTCTTCCCGAGGGCATAAATAGGCGGCTGCAGAAAGAGAGCATGACTGGCAGTGAAATAAAATTTCTAGAAACACAAAAACATCAGGAACTGAGAGAATATAGTATGGGAGTACAATACATACAGTTTTGTGGGGTAGGCTTGAGATGTGTCATGTAGGTGTGCATATCTTTGAGGCATGTATTTTGGGGACCTCCCAGCCATAATATCAGAATAGATGGCTTCTGGACAAACTCAATGTCTGTTTCAGACATTTAGAATGGCAAGAATCCATAGATAGACATTGGACCTAAGGGCAAACAAGATTATGGAAGAGTGGGCACAGTGGTTGGGTCTGTAGAGAAAATGCACAGGGTGGTAAGCACAGTTTTTTTCTTGAGAAAACTCAGGCAAAAGCAGCTAAACAAGGCCCAGTTATTTCTCAATTCTACGCCAATGCAAACTGAGGAGAAACTGGTGTGAAACCAGCCAAAATGGTCTAAACCACAGTAAAACTGGCAGAAAACTGAGTTTTGCCTTCAGTTTTTTTCAGGTGAAAACTGGAGAAAGTTGGGGCCTTGTTCAATCAGTTTTTGACCAATTTTACACCACAAAAAAGTGTGCTTACCACCCAGTGATGGAGTTGTGCGCGCGGGCATAATGGGCACTCTAAAATAGGCAATTCGCAGATGCAGCCCACAATGTGGGCCTCGATCTCACCCATTTCGCGTCAGGTGGCCCTCGAACTTGATATTACTGTAGACAGTACCCATTGGAATGATATTTTCATAGCTGATTCTAGTATCATACTCATATGTGTATGCTACGCATGAAAAGCCGTAGGGTGGTCTGGTTCCTGATTGGATACAACTGCCGATGTCGGCCCGCAGCATGTCAAGCTTCCAGCGTCATCCCAGGGTTGATTGAAAAGATCCTCAGAGACGCCCAAATGGATCCAGGCGCCCAATAACCCTGAAGTGCTCTTTGCTCAGCCTGCTCCCTGCTACATCGTTGAACTGCTAGAAATGGATTCGTTCCCTCTATTAGCTGTATTTTTATTTTATATGAAGAGGATGTGAACACAGGAAGGTTCCGCAATATACTTTGCTTTAATTGGGTATCTGCATGCACTAAATATTTGGTTGTGCGCTTATTTAAGTCATATAAATCAAATAAATATGAATTAAGTATTCTTACTATATGCCACATGCCACAGCAAGGCCGAAGCTCTATTAACACACGATAAGGGCCCAAATCGTGGCCCACAGCGCGGTACGCATTCCCAATTTGGCTGCGAGCACCGACTTTGTGGCGGAGGGCGGCGTACTCACAATATTTGGGCTCTGCTAGGCTCGCGAGCATAGCAAGCGAGAAGCTCCGAGGTCATGATCGTTTGCAGGCACACTCATTCTTCTTCTTTCCCTTCCTTTCACTTGAATTTTGCCCTGGGACTGCCCTGGGCGACCCTCCACAGCCGGGGCCTTGCGGCCCCGGCTGATCGCCCCAGAAATGACCCATTTCTCTCACAATCGCGCTAAGAACGAGCTCATTTGCCCGACTATGAATGCATGAATGCAGCCGCCTTCACCGCGACTGCATCGGCAGCATATCAGCCCCGCAACATAACAAGAGCCGTCTATGCAGGGAAGGACTGCAGCGGCGGTGAATGCTAAGCCGTCGCTTCGTGCGCGCAAACTAATACGAACGATTGACGTGGCTCGTGGCTGGAGAGGCTTCGATGTTGAGCATTTCCCCACGTCATTACTTAGTTGAATGTCCGACTCATGGAATCAGGATTGCTTCTGCCTCTGTTCAACGGAGGGTATGTTTCCGTCTTCAACTAGATGATGCATGGAAACCCCCCTGTGTAAGGTTGATCTATGCTCTCGTGCCTTTGCGCAATCCGCATATATGGGAACGCGAGTTTGCCCCACATGTTGTTCTCGCTCACCACTCCCTTTCCCCGGCACACAGAATGACCACCCCGTCGATCAAATTACCATCGAAACTGGTAAGCTACTCTGTCCAAGACTTGCAACACCAAGCTAATGACCGTTGCTGGCAAGCATTCGTCGGAGGGCGATCACTCCGGTGGAAGCCTGAAAATTCTTGACGAGTTTCGCGAAACCGTGAGTTACTCAGTCAGTTCCGCGACTGCCCGAATAGCCTGTTAAAGACGTGATTGCAGGTCAAGAGAGATGTATCCTTCGTAGATGTCTCAGCGCTGGTACGTGTTTTCTTTCGACGTGGGTCACTTTCGTTGACACGCGGTAAAGCCAGGAATTATCGACGCTCTCAAACACAACAGTGCGATAGACGATAGAAAAATGCTCGTGAGCGTCACAACCCAACGTCGATTTCTTGTTCATGCACTGACGCAGTCTTCAGCTTGAGCATATTCTAATGTTCATATCTAAACTTCCGGAGGGAACGGTTTCAACCAAGCTACAGAACCTTGTCATTGAGCTCCGTGAGTTCGACATTCACGTTTCCTTGGCGAGTTTAAGTTACGGCGGCTGACGTGGCGCGCAAGTGTATAACGATCTCCCGCACCCTCCAAGTACATATCTCGGCCAGCAGTACGCCTGGCGCACTGCCGACGGCTCGTATAACAACATCTGCGAGCCAGACATGGGCAAGGCAGGAATGCCTTACTCGCGCAGCGTTCAGCAAACGCATCCGCTTGCGACCAGAGACTTGCCAGACGCTGGCTTAGTCTTTGACACGCTTCTCCGCCGAGAAAAGGTATCCTTCCTCATGACCGTCGTCTAACTGAATCAGATACTAAATCTATGCGCGTCTACAGTTCGTTAAGCACCCGGCTGGCTTGTCGAGCATGATGTTTTCCTTTGCTGCGCTGGTCATTCATAGGTACGTCACTTTTCAAGATTGTTGTGCGAATAGCTGGAACGAATGGCTCGATACAGCGTCTTTCGCACCTCTCACGAGAACGTGAATATCAATGAGACATCCTCCTACCTCGACCTCGCGCCACTGTATGGATGCAACCAGGAGGCACAGAACAAGATTCGCGTGAGGGACGGCCGGGGTTTACTTTACCCCGATACGTTCGCAGAAGATCGTCTCTTGCTGTTGCCCCCGGCAGTAGCCGTTCTCCTTTTACTGTTCAGCAGGAACCATAACGTTCGTACTCTTCATATCACGCATGCATTAAGCTAAGCACCCAGATCATCTAGTATATCGCCCGAAAGCTGTTGGAAATCAACGAACGCGACACGTACACTGACCCGGATCATATCCCTGCAGATGACCCGCAGCGCTCGGCAAAGATCCTCGCACAAGAGGAAGAGATTTTCCAGACTGCTCGCCTGATCAATTGTGGATGGTTCGGTTCCGCGATCCTCTCAGATTATTTCAGCGCAATCCTGGGTTTGGTGCGGCAGGGTAGCAGCTGGAGCTTGAATCCGTTCGGAGTGAGTCTTGCGCATAAACGAGGCATACGAGTTACTTAACCCCTGCACTTCAGGAAATCCGTCAGGAGGACCATTCTCTGTTCGAGCGTGCGCGTGGAAACGCATGCAGTGTCGAGGTAAGCGCAATGTCAGATATATTGAATTTGTCATCTGACTGTCTGAAATAGTTCAACTGTCTCTATCGCTGGCACGCTACCACATCAGAGCGTAAGCTCGTTTCCATACTGATCTAATTGAGCTGACACGAGATACTTCCAGATGACGAACAATGGGTCGAGCAGCTGACAAGACATCTGTTCGGTAACCGCAGCCCTGATACCATCTCCATGGCAGACCTAAAACAAGCCATGCAGAAAATACAGGCGCAGGAGCCCGATGCCACACACTGGACATTTGGTAACATGCAAAGGCAGGAGGACGGGTCGTTCAAGGACGAAGAGCTTGCGGCGATTTTAAGGGCGGCGTAAGTAGCTATCTTCGTAGCTTCACCATAACATCAGAATGCTGAGTAGATGACGTAGAACGCAGCACCCCGCCGGTGCATTCAAGGCTCGTGGAACACCCCACTGTATGCGCCTCCATGAGATCATGGGAATTGAGGCGAGCCGTCGTTGGGGCCTCTGCTCTTTGAACGATTTCAGGAAGGTGAGAATATTCGTGGTCATAGTCGCTTGTTATTAGACTGATTGCGCGCGTAGTTCTTGGGGTTGAAGCGTGAGTTCCGCCCATGCAGTCCCTTAATGCGACGCTGACATCATTCAATAGCTTACTCGTCGTTCTTGGAATGGAACCCGGATCCTGAAGTGGCTGCAGCAGCTGAGAAGCTGTACGGTGACATCGGCCATCTCGAACTATACACTGGTCTCCAGGCTGAGGAGACCAAGCCTGTCGTCGATGGTGCAGGAGTTTGCCCCTGTAAGTTATCTATACCTTCTGAACTCGAGACAAATAATGAATACCGCACATTGCAGCGTACACCATTAGTCGAGCCATTCTCGCCGACGCCATCGCTCTGACTCGCGGTGACCGCTTCTTCACCGCCGACTATACGCCCTTCAATATGACCTCCTGGGGCTTTGCCGACTGTCAGCGTGACGCAAAAGCGCCAGGGTACGGAAGCACGCTCGGCCGCCTCCTCATGCGTGCCCTCCCGAATCACTACACCGCCAACAGCACCTACACTTGGTTCCCGCTGATGACTCCCGAGGCAATGCAGACTATCCTTACGAAGCTCGGAGACATTGATCTCTACAATTTGAAGCTTCCCAGCCCTGTGCAGAATGCAGTCGAAGTTGACGAATACAGAGACGCGACGCACGTCTTGGTCAGCGGAAACTTCGGCGCGCTGTACCAGGAGAGGGCTGGACGAGTAATCGAGGGCCAAGGGTAAGCGCCATTGCCGCCTTGGAACATGTGTACTCGGCTGAAGCCTTTGTTTGTAGATTCTTCCTTGCCTCAAACGACCCGGCGCGCGCCCAGCGCGAGCAACGTGCCATGCTTGGTGCACTTGCCGGCGCCCCTGGGTCCGTCGAGAAGATTGCGGAGTTTTTCTACAGGAAGACGCGCGAGATGATGGTCAGCGAGGCATGGACCGGGGTCGGGAGGTCGACGAAGAGCGTCGACGTTGCCCGTGACGTGCTGAAGTATGTCCCCATCTACTGGGCGTGTGAAGTGGTGCGTCTGCTTCTCAGTTGTGGTGTGTGCAAGGTATGGAGGCTGATATGCGAACATAGGCTGGTATTCACCTAAACAACAATGACTCCGAGGACGGATACACTCCGGCCAAGCTGTATACCATGCTCACTGAGATCTACGAGTAAGCAGGGTGTTAGACCTGTATGCCACAATTGCTCAATGCTATTTCAGGTTTCTCTTCTTGGACTTCGACTCCTATAAGTACCTCACCCTGCTGAAGACGGCCCAAAGGCATATCGATGTTCTGCTCAGACAGATCAAGGGGCCGCAAGCTAACAGCGGAGTGAGTAATGCTGACAAGAACCCTGTAGTTATGTGCTTATTACTGCGCCACCAAGTTTTCCTTGTTCAGCATCTTTTCCTTTTTCGCTAAGCTCTTTGGAGGCGGTCAGAAGTCCGAAGGGGATCTGTCGGCGCGCTTTACTTCCCTTGGATATGACAACGACACCTTGGCGAACTCGATCCTTGCGATTCTAGTCGGCTGCACTGTCGAGATGTCTCAAGGTGCGTCCTTTACGTGTGCTAAAAACTGAAAACTGACCGACACAATGTAGCACTCGTCCATGTCGTTAACTTCTACCTCGACGAGGGAATGACTGGCCAGGTCAAGATCTCCACTACTAATGCACGACCAGATGGGAAAGACCAAGAAACGATGCAGGGCATTGCGGTGGAAGCGCTGCGTGAGTAGCCATCCTCAGGTGTGGCTTACACTGCACTTACCGCGACACAGGCCTGGACCCCCCGTTCGCTGGTGTCTATCGTGAGGCACTGACTGCTCAAAATGTTAACGACCGCTCTGTTGAAACTGGTGGCAAGGTTTTCGTTAACATCGCCAAGGCGAACATGGACGTGCGTTCCTAGAAGTTCATGCACGCTTATTCACGCTTATTCATCTTTGTCATAGCCCGACGTCTTCAAGGACCCAGCTTCTGTAAAGCCGAACCGCTCGCCGAAGGATCGGTACCTTGCTGCTGATGGCTCAGTACAATGCCTAGGCTTTGATCTCTCTTCAAAGGTGGAGTCATATTTATGTCTTAAATCCCGCACGATGCTCATGCTGAAATGAAATGTGACTTAGATCGTCGCGGAGGTGCTCCGCGCTGTCTTCAGCTTCCCCAATGTTCGTCGTGCTCCGGGACAGTCGGGTGTGCTCAAGCGGTAAGACGAGCTTGCGCTGCAAGCTACCAGACGTTGCTGAATGCTGTTACCTGCTACCTGTTACAGCTTCAAGCCGGACACGATCAAGACTAGTTCCTGGATGTACCTCAACCATGAGCAGCTGCCAAGCCCTTGGGCAACATCCATGATTATCCAAGTACGCTTCTAACGACTTCATAATTTGAGCCTTTGCTGACACTGCACCCTGAAGTACGACTAAGACGGATTTTACGGTCTGATGATCTCTGAAATCGCCGATGATTCCTTCTACCGCATTTTTGAAAGCTGTTCTTCATCATGTATGTTACAACATCGTCTCTGCAGCCTTTATCCAAATAGCCAGTGGATTGTTGACAAATTCTGCTGTGGGGGCAGGTTGACATCTGCTGGGTTATCTTGTCATTCTGCGAGGGTTTCCAAATAACTTTCATTTAACTAAGACATACGACAAGCATTCTGGTTGAGTGGGATCCTGGATGCCAAAACCCAGCCTCCAGGCGATGCCCTGTACGCTGTTGATCTTGCTAGAGAAAAAATCGTTAGCTAAAAGTACCATTGGGCAGGCAGATGGACTCACAAGTTTGGTGGCGCGAGGCTGTTCTTCAGAAGCGCAGCTTTGCCGTTATTGTGCCCATAAGCATTTTTCCACAATTAACAGAATCGAGCTAATCGCGCACCTTCACTGTGGTATCAATCTCCGAGAAGTTCGTAAATTAGCCACCGACAGTGCCGCAGTATCTCTGTTCGACGCCATTCTTGCCACTGACGACGACCATCTTGGCCTTCCTCCTTGGCCATGGTAACACTGCACTGTGCACAATATTGGACGTTCGTTCGCTTTCTTGCACAATTGTGTACGTTCGCCCATTTTCATGCACGATCGCGCGCGTTCGTCCACTTTCAAAGCATGCCACGTTTGTGCTCGTTCGTCCACCTCCGTCCACCTCCGCCCACTAAACTGTATGTATAGTCGTGGAAGTATGTGGACTTGCCAAGGGACTCTGCGACGCGCGAGTCGCGACCTGGCATTCAATCCCCCGATCCCTACTGATCCAATCACATTCCCACGACCGCGCTTCCCGCTGGGTCCCGATCGGCGCTCCCGCACCGCGTCCGCCTTGGCCTCGTCAGCGTCGCTCTCTCGAGTAGGCCGCTGCCGATTCTCACATGGTATCCCCAATTGCTTGCCCCGAAAACCAAGCCAGACATGAGTACTTGAGTCTTCATTGACGCGGCTCGCTCCAGTTTGCCCGCTGGGCGAGCCCACTGAACTCGGACCTAGTCAGTTGGGCCATCCGCGTCCAAACAACTTGAATTCAAGAGTGCCAATGGCGAGCCACCAGCCAGCGATGCGGCTACGAAGCATCTCTGTCAGGCACTCCGCACCCTGCTGTACGCCGATAATCCTTCCGTGCCGCCGTATGTCCCAGTCCGCTCCTTCGCACGCGTTAGTACAAGTCGTTCTGCAGGTCTGCGGCAACCTACCACTCGAGATTTTCTCGCATCGTCGGACTCTGTCTCAATCTGCGGTACGATCTTTGTGCAGCAGATCGCACTGCCCGAGGAGACAGTCGCACAGCTTCGCGCACAGCTAAAGTCGCAGGAGCTGGGAACTTTGATATCTGGATTTGACGTAGTTGTGTTGGTGTTTGGACTGAAACGGCTTGGTGAGTGCTGTTCATACGCTACAGAGATGCCCTGCTGATGACGTCTTCGCGCGAACGTCCAGAAGCATACTCGAGTGGGAGCGGTGCAACATATATCGGAGGCGCCCTCCGTCCTACTAGCGATATTTCAAGACTGGACAATCGAGGTACGGAGGAAGGGACTGGTGGAAGTTGGCGGCGAGGGATTTCCCTCGAATCACAGCATATCGTGCTTGGTCTCCATTCATCCGACATCGGTGCTAACGTGCAAGTACCGGAGCCCTCTCTTGTGCAGCCCAGAGGGCCGCAGCAGTCCGCGCAAGATATGCGTGCAGCGTCAAGGGAGTCGCGGCGTGCTCTCAAAAGTCGCTGTCCAACGGCTCCACCCATCACGTGGCTGTAGCGGCTCGGGAGTTCGGGAGGCTAGGAGAGCAATTTCATAGCATAGTACTGGTGAGTAGTGCTAGGTTTCGTGCGTCTTCAATTGGTCTGATGATACTAGAACGCGCAAAGCGAGGGCGTTCGTTCCCACGGGTATGTAACATTGAAGCCTTGCAGTCGACGTCTCATCCCTGTACGAAAGGATGCTATCCGTGCTGCAAATTGAGGGGCTCGTCCGGGGCTCAGACGACATACGCAACGCAACGCCTTGGGGCCTGCCGAAGAACTCGTGAAATTCGGCGTTGGCGACAAGCCCGAGTGGCTCGGGGTGCTGCACCCGACGAGCATGGCGATGCTGCGGTGCGGCCCGTAGACTGTTACGTGGAGGGCCTATAAGACTCGGGCGCGCCACGGTTGAGCTAGCTATCGCTTCTGCGTGGTACGACGACATGTGCCCCACGAACAGTGCAACAGATCGCCAATCTGCTGGGCCGTGTCGGGGCCACCCTGTAAGAGCTGATGGTCGGATGGACGGCAGACCGGACTGTAGAGGTGAGCTCTCATAAGATCCTCTTTTGAGGTACCCTACTGACGACGATGGCACAGCTTGCGACAAGCTGGGTTCCAGCGATGCAGCGTCCCTTTTGACATTTCGGCATCCGGGCACCGAACACCACGGTCGCGCTGGATCTATGAGATTTGAAGGCAGGATAGGACAGATGTATACTATCTCGAGTGTCAGAGTATTCACGTGCTTTTGTATATTGTCTCACGAGGACTCTCGATACGCTCGCAGTAGGCGCTTACCCGATCGTGGAGGGGAGACCATTTCCAGCCACACACGGCCACCGCGAGGAGCGCGGCGCGAACAGCGAGGAGACACGGTCGCGCCGAATTTGTGAGACCAATTTTAAGAGAATCGTAAGGCAGATGCGTGCTGCCTTGAATGCCAGAGTATTCGAGTACACATGGATCTTGTGACGCTATGTCAAATTTTTTCAGGATAGCTAAACGCGAAGCTACTGTACAGATATCGCCAGACGCACTGTTGATGCCATTGGATGGGTGGGAGTCGGCTTAATGAAGGAAATGTACATCCCCTTTGCGCCACCTCCAGCCTAGATTTCCTTCCAACCTGCCGCTCTCCAATCACCTCCGCAACAAGCCAGACCTCCGCGGCGAGTCTGATGATAATGTAATTCACGCCCTGTAAAAATGTACCGCGAACCTTGCAGATTTGGACCTCATAGCAAGAGATATCATCGCCGTGACTTGCTCTTTGAGACCGAAGCTTGAGTATCTTATGGCCGGAACTGTCTTTCTTCCCAGCATGATCGATGCCAACGGGGCCGTATGTCATGGCAAAACCACTGAAGTAAATTCCTGGCTCAGACGTGTCGAGGCGTGAGTTTCCAGAAGGTGTGTATGAAACCAGTAACGATCAGAATCCAAGGAACTGATAGTACCTTCCTGCTCGCACTGCATCAACACCTGCCACGAAGGCAGCAATGAGATGTCGTCCGGGTGGCACATTGCGTGGCGCAAGACGATTCGGTATCGCAAAATCGAATCCACATGCTTAAGAAGCGTGGTTCAAGCGAGCTCAGGCGGCATACCCTCGTCGTATATCGGCAGCGTCTCGCAGCCCAGGATGTATGCGAGGCCGTGGATCCTGTCAAGCTCTGTCGTGCAGTGACGTCCCTGCATTGCCTCGGCAGCAAAGGGCAAGCGGTCGAAGAGCGGCATGGACCGCGGGAGATTCTGAAAGAAGTGCCGCGTGTCTGCAGACACCGTTCCTGTGGCCCCACCAGGCAACCAGCTGTTGGTGGCCTCTTGCACCGTCCAGACGCGGTTCAGCCAGTGGCGATCGGAAGACAGTACTTGCGGAGATGGATCAAAGGGAAGGCCGAGCCCGTTGAAGTATGTGGCACACAGCAGGCTCCGTGCGTACATGTAGCCGATGGTAGGGACGTCGAGTTCCCACTCCTCTTTCCTCCGCTCCTCGTCCTCCAGACGTCCCCGTTATCTCAGACTGAATGTCCATCCAGGCATACTCCGCGCCGAGATTGAGGAGCTCGACTCGAACGTGGTCAAAGGTCGTGTCATTGGGTATGGGGACGGGCCACTCATAGCCGTTGATCGGAGTCCAGACGTTGGTGCGAGCGCAAGTTTCGTGTACCCAGCTGTGCGATAATGTCCAGACGTAGTCGGGTATCTTGCTGTACCCGCCTGAAGGAAGGACATGAAACGGAAGCACCCGGTTGCTGTGGGGGTCCCACATCCGCCGTGTGGACACCCATGAGTTGGTGATGTAGCCACAATCCAGGGCGTTTTTCCGCATCGCTTCGTCCTCCCTTTGCTTTGCAGCAAGGTCGAAGAGCAGCTGAGTGAAGTTGGATCTCCAGTGGCATCGCAGAGAGCCGTAGACTTGGCCGAAGTCTCGTGAGAAACAGAGAAAGTGAGCGAGGCACTGCATCAACCCTCGCTCATCTAGCGAGTAGCCGGTCCCGAGGATATCGTTTAGCTCTAGCAGCTCTGTGACGTTCAGAGCATTACAGGGCGTGTCTGCGAGGGTGTTCGGGATGGCGCCGGGATCGAAGTGGGCCCACTGGAAGGGGACAGAGGAGCGTGGTTCCGGCACAAGCGAGAATGCTCTGCCTTGTCCTTTGGATGTGAAAAGATACTCGAGAGGGACTCCCGACTCTGACATTTTGATCCTCCACCACACTTGGAGGCGCGCTTCTCTCATGGTAGCGTTTATGGTCCGATGGAGAAAGGTATAGAGGTCACGAATGAAGAAAGAGCGATGGTACTGGGTCATTGCCAATGGCAAACTTAGTCGTGCGCCATGGAGCCGAGTCTTCGACACAGATGGTTATTTCCCCAAGTGTGATTATACTCGATGCATGCTATATATATTTGTGTCTCAGCGCGAATTCTTGTCCGTGTATTTGTCTCTGGCTCACCAACTCAGATCTTTCACCACCTGTAGAGCTTTTGGGGCAGCTCCCTTCATCGACCGAATCTGCGTTCCGCCTTGGGGAAGCATGTTTGAATAAACCTCTTAAATTTGACAGACTCCATCCTCCACACAACTACTCAGCGCACAAGTAAAATCCCCAATTCTAGCGGCTTACTGGGACCCGTCTTGTCTTTTTGAGTCATTTTGGATGGAGCTGGGGTGTTTATAGAAGTGAATAGTGTGGTGGAGCAAGCAGAGTCAGGTGGCTGTCGAGGATACTAGTATTTACTGCGAAGTTTGGAAGACAAAATACAGAGACATGCGAACGCTCTGATAAACCCAGCGCGACCGTGATATTGGATGCCTAGATGCCGAAATGTCAAAGGGGATGCTGCGTCGCTGGAATATAAAATTGCCGCAAACTGTCACATTCAAGACTGCACTTCGGTGCCGGAAAGCCCGACGCAGTCTCACTCGGCTTCGTCCGAGCGCTGTTGACGCGGATAGTTTCCTGCTGATCCGATTACGTCACCACAAGCCGCTTTCTTCTCGCCGCCCGCCCGCTGGCCGCCCTTGTCGGTGCCACACTCTCTCATAGGCCGCAGCGCTGAGGCTCATGTTGTACAGCGCCGCGCGCTCTCCCGTAGTCTCTCTCTTGTCTACCCTCTGCCATCTGCCAGAATCGTTCTGCGCGTCTGCGGTCGTCCACCACTCGAGATTCGCTCTCGTTGTCGGACTGCACCACCGGCTGCGTGTGGTCCTCGTTCGGGGAGGTGGTCGCGCAGCCTTGCGTATTGCTAGAGTCGCAGGAGCTGAGAGGTCTGAGATCTGGATTTGATATGGCTGTACTGGTGTTCGGACCGAAATGGCTTAGTGGGTGCTGCTAATACGCTACAGACGTGTCCTACTGATGCGTTTGGTGAGAAAGTTTGGAAACATACTCGGGCGAGGGCAAGACAACGTCAACGAGAAGCGCGCTTTATCCCGCTGGCGACATTTCAAGACCGGATAGTCGGGATACGGAGGAAGAAGCTCGGGCGGGTTGACGGCGGAAGACCTTCCTTGAAGTGCAGCATGACGCGCTTGGTCTCCCCCGTTCTATTCAACATCAGTGCCATCGCGAAATTATCGGAAATCTCCCGCTCGTTTGCGCGGCCCAGAGTGGGAACAGCAGTTCGCGCAAGGCATGTCTATGGCGTCAATGGCAGCGCGTTTCGAAGGCCGTCGCCCAATGGCTCTAACCTTGACTCTAGCGGAGGGCTAAAGCATGTCTACAGTGGCTTGAAGGTTCAAGCCGCTAGAACAGCTGCTAGATGACATAGTACTGGTGAGTAATACTAGGGATGTGCGTCTTCAATTGGTCTAAATGGCACCAGGGCCCGCAAAGCAAGGACCTTCGTTTGAATATGCACACCACGTTAGAACCTCACAGTCGGGATCTTATCCCTTGATCAAAGGACAATGCTTGTGTCGAATGTCGAGTGGCCCACCCGTGACTCGGACGACGATACGCAACCCAACGCCTTGGAACCCTTCGAAGGATTTGTCCAGTCCGGTATCGACGGCGCGCTCGAGTGGCTCGAAATGTCGCGCATGACAGGCATGGCAATGCTGCGGTGCGTCCCGTAGGCTGTTTCGTGAAGGCAGCGGATCGCAATATTTGGACGCGCTGTGCTTGAGTCTGCTGTCACCGCCGCGTAGTGCGACAAGACGTGCGCCCTGCGGCCGGCGCAACAGGTCGTCAATTTGCTAGGGCGCGTCAGGGCCAGCCTGTGACAGCCAATAGTCGAACGGACGGCAGATCATACGTGGGGCGATTGCACAGGTGAGTTCTCAAGACATCTTCTTTGGCGGCACTTCGCTGATGACGGTGACATAGTTTGCAAAAATCTTCGATTCTGGCGATGCAGCGTCCTCTTTAATATCTCGGTATCCGGGCATCAAATATCATAGTCGCACTGGATTTATGAGAGGTTAATTTTGCAAGAAGCGTAGATATGCAATATCTTGAATGCCAGAGGCTTCACGTACCTCTATACTTTATCGTTCTGTAACGAATACTTGTACTTTCGACACGTTTGCAGTGCTAATGCCTATATCGGGACTGGGCGATCCATTCCTACTACTGGTCTGTCCCATGGCAACCCCCCTACAACCTGACTCTACTTGCTCCACCACGTTGCTCGCCTCTTCTACACACGCCGTGGCGCTACAAACACCTTAGCTCGATCCAGAATGAATCGCGAAGACCAGCCGGGTGTTAGTAAGCAGCCAGTATTGAGATATTCACCTAATTGCTGAGTTGGTGTACGCAGTACGGAGTCTGATCAGCCTATTTGAACGTGCGACAGGGAGGCAGGACGCGGATTCGGTCAGTGAGGGGAGTAGCTCCAAGGCATCTACAGGCAGTGGTCGATCGAGGTCGGTGAGTCAGAGATGAATAGTATACGCGCAGAAGTTTGTATACTGAGACACTGGCATATTTAGTGTGCATCGACGACATTCACACCCGTAGAGATACAGTAATATGCCCGGGACTGACAACTACACCAAATTCCACTGAATATGGGGTGTACTCACTGGCACCCACTGGTATCCAGTGAAGTCCAGTGCTAGTCTCCAGTGGCTGCTGCTGTTGGCTGGTGGGTATCAGTGAGTAACAGTGGGCGGCAGTGAGACACACCGGATCCCACTGGGCTTCGCAGGTTGCCACCGGCTACCGGCACACATCACCAGCAATTTGCATCAAACATTGCTTGAAGCCACTGGCTTATCAAGTACCAATATAGATACAAATATTTTTCTGTAATAAGCTCAATACATGCTTAGCCACCGGCATCTGTATAGATGCCTATTCTCCTCTGAACTGTGCACTATCCCAGAACTCAGCTCTCACTGAAGTGTCTCTACGCGGTACACTGTCTGAGTGCAAAAGGTGTGTAAAATTGATTGCCAGATGTGTCCC